CTAGAATAGCCAATAAATTCATGTTTCATTTATAAAGAAGTATTGTCTGGTGTTGTGAAAATTTTTAAAGTTAAAACTCTGCCCAGATCACGTTACCTAGCTCGTAGCTTATAACTTATCAAAATTATGTATTAACCTGTGGCCAAGGAAAATACTAATATTCAAATTGTTAATATACACGGACGTTAACGTCTCGCTGGACGAGTAGTTGATAAAGTGTAAACTATCAAATTTGAAATCAGTTCTAATCAGGTTGACTTCGAATCTTCAGATTCGATTCCTCTCAAAACCTGAGCTAGAAATAAAATTAATAATGAATTCCCTTATAAATGAGTTAATTTCTTACAAGGTTCAGAAAAGTATAAAAGACATCGTCAGAATAGTCCATCTGCCATCAGTGGTTCAACCGTAGTTCAACCTTCACGTGCAAAAAGTATTCAGCAATCCTAATGGGATCAAACAAGACCCTCTACTGGAAAACTCATTGGCTGGATTTAAGTCCAAGAAAAGAATACTACAACCCTGTTTATGTAATTCTAATGAAAAATTCTTGATTTGAAAACAGAAGTAATTGGATGATAAAGTTAAAGAAAATCAGAAATATACAAAACAACAAAAAAAAACGTTCATGTTGATTTATCTTTATTGATAAAACGGCTACACTGATCAGCCACAACATTAAAACCACTGACAGCTAAAGTGAATAACTGCTTATATCATTACAGTGGCACCCATCGTGGGGTGGGATGTATTAGGCAGTAAGTTGAAGGTTGAACTACGGTTGAACCACTGATGGCAGATGGACTATTCTGACGATGCTTTTCATACTTTTCTGGACCATGACAGTGCAATTTACTTTGCAGTCTATGGGACAGTCACAAGCCTCCCAGTTTTCATCCAAATTATCTTCAATTGTGTTCCGAAGAATTTACGGGTTTGGAACGGCATTGGGGTAAGTGATTAATGACAAAATTTTCATTTTGGGGTGAAGTAACCCTTTAAGCCACAAAAAAACAACACACAAGTTCGCTGTCAGTTCTTGAATTTCATTAGTTTGAAGCCGGAAAAATGGGCAAACGAAAAGATCTGAGTGACTTTGACAAGGGCCAGATAATGATGGATACACAAATGGATCAGAGCGTCTCTAAAAGTCTTGTGGGCTGTTCCCAGTCCGCAGAGGTTAGTATCTACCAACAGTGATGCAAGAAAGGGCAAAAGGTGAACCAATGTCAGGGTCATGGGCATGTACCATTGACACGTACCACACCTGCCTAAAGATTGTTGCAAACCACATACAGCTCTTCATAGCAATGGTGTTCCCTGATGGCAGCGTCCTCTTTCAGCAGGATAATGCACGCTGCCACGCTGCAGAAATGATTCAGGAATGGTTTGAAAAACATGATGAAGAGTTCAAGGTGTTGCCTTGGCCTCCAAATTCCCCAGATCTCAATCTTATTGAGCATCTATGGGACGTGCTGGACCAAAAAATCTGATCCATGGAGGCTGATCTGTTACTAATGTCTTGGTGTCTTGGAAAACCATAGGACATGTTAAGAGGTTTTGTGGAGTCAATGCCTCAACGCACCAGGGGGAGCGACATGATATTAATCAAGTGGTTTTAATGTTGTGGATCATGCCTGATGCACACAAGCACAGGGGCACACAATCTTCTGTGAAAAGCCTGAAAACTTAAGACACCCATGTAAGCTGCCCTGAATGTAAATGAGATTTCTCCTATGTAGAAAGAGAAAGACATATTTCATTTAAAAGAGAGTTACCATTTTGAATGACTTTCTCCAGAGAGCCAGTCACACTGCTGTCTGATGTTTCACCAGCTCTCTCTCGTCCTGCTGGAGAAACAGTCAAATGTCACATTGATGTGGTTTGAATCTGCTAGAAATGTGCTGGTAAATAACAAAAACATACCAGCAGGTGTTTCAGCATTCAATGATTCAGTAGCTTGTCCTGGAAAACACAACAATGATACACAACAATAATCATACACATTTAATCTCAATGTGTCGGGTTATCCAGATCTCAATCTTATTGAGCATCTATGGGACGTGCTGGACCAAAAAATCTGATCCATGGAGGCCCCACCTTTCAACTTGAAGGACTTTTAAGGATCTGCTACTAATGTCTTGGAAACCAAAAGACAAGTTCAGAGATCTTGTGCAGTCAATGGTACAATGCACCAGGGGGACCGTCATGCATTTCTGAGTTATTTACACTGTTAAAGAGTTGGATTCTCATGCTAAATCTCTCGTCCTGCTGGAGAAACAGTCAAATGTCACATTGATGTGGTTTGAATCTGCTAGAAATGTGCTGGTAAATAACAAAAACATACCAGCAGGTGTTTCAGCATTCAATGATTCAGTAGCTTGTCCTGGAAAACACAACAATGATACACAACAATAATCATACACATTTAATCTCAATGTGTCGGGTCATAATATTTCATACACACAAGTAAAGATGGAAAACTATCTGAATATTTGAACTCTGAATGACATCTGAAAGTCATTATGATGCTTGTGATTTAATGCTTTCAGTTTACCTACCCAGTTTTATGATGATTGATTTGAAGTTTCTGTGGGACACAAAACAATCATATTCTGCTTTTTCATTCTCCTGGATCTCCACACTCTTCCTCAGCTGGAAGGTCCCATCATGGTTTGGTCCGATTCCTGTGGATTCAACCTCGTCTTCAGGCAGAGATGTGCAATATTTCCTAATGGTCATCATCATGTCTTTGGCGTAGAAGCCGGTGGCCATACAGATGAGTTTCAGCTTGGTTTCATCACTGGATTTCCTTGCAAACACATGAACATCTGGAGGAGCTGAAAACACAGGAATTTGTTTATCAATCATCTGCATATAAACAACAAATATCAATACTGTACATTTACTCACAAGCTTTTCTGAGCTCATTGTCTCCATATTCTCTGAATTTGTTGAGCCAGTCCACACACTCTTTCTCCAGGTAGCCTTTGGTGTACTGGTTTAGGATGAGCACACTGTCCCATTTTCTCTTGGTTGGTAGAGCTGCTTCCCATGGGCAAAGTTTTAAAAAAACGATTTGGACATATGATGGAGTAATTCTGTGCCAAATATACTCCTTCTGGTTTCAAAAAAGTTTCAGAAAGTTTTTGTTTTGTTTTGAGTACGACCCCATACGTCCCATGACGTTTCATGACGTCATGAAGAGCGGAAGTCCATGTATGAGCACTTCTCCCGGAAGAGCACATGCACACATCAACCGGAGTGAGAGCAAGAGTGCTCCCATCAGCGCGCTTCATTTACAGAAGTAGTCGGCAACACTGCACAGACTTGCTTGAGAAGAATCAAAAACATCTGAAAGTCATTATGATGCTTGTGATTTAATGCTTTCAGTTTACCTACCCAGTTTTATGATGATTGATTTGAAGTTTCTGTGGGACACAAAACAATCATATTCTGCTTTTTCATTCTCCTGGATCTCCACACTCTTCCTCAGCTGGAAGGTCCCATCATCGTTTGGTCTGATTCCTGTGGATTCAACCTTGTCTTCAGGCAGAGATGTGCAATATTTCCTAATGGTCATCATCATGACTTGCTTGAGAAGAATCAAAAGAAGTGTGTTTTTGCTTGTGAGGGAAAGCTAACCTTGTTCCGCTTCAAAAGGACCCAGTGTTACATGAACAGTGGATGCAGTTTGTTTTTCCAGGGCAGCAACAGAGTTTCGCAAGTGTGTTTGTTCCCGTCATTTCAATCGGTAGAGCTGCTTGACCTAAGGCGACCCACTGAGACGCTGCAATATCAAAAGAAATAAAGTCCTCTCCATCATAGGCGTACTCATGCTCGTGACTCTTTAGCTCCGCCCACGGCGTGCCTCCAGGAGCTCGGCTGTTTTCAGAGAGAAGCATAAAGCTGTGACTTTCTTTAACAAATCTGATCAAACTAAAGACTCTATGGAGATATGAAGGACACAATACTACTCTATAGGTACTCATTTAGGATTTTGTCCAATTTTGTCTCAAGGTTTTGTCCAATTTATGCAGGTTGTTTTAATGTAATGGCTGGTCAGTGTATTATACGTCATACGTGAGGTACACAAGCACAGCAGCACGCAACCTTCTGCATGTAAACATGCATGAAATGCACGAAAACGTGAAAACACTTTTGTGAGCTGCCCTGAATGTAAATGAGATTTCTCCAATGTAGAAACAGAAACACTGATATTCCATTTAAAATGGAGTTACCATTTTGAATGACTTTCTCCAGAGAGCCATGGCTGCAGTTGACTGCAGTCACACCGCTGTCTGATGTTTCACCAGCTCTCTCTCGTCCTGCTGGAGAAACAGTCAAATGTCACATTGATGTGGTTTGAATCTGCTAGAAATGTGCTGGTAAATAACAAAAACATAGCAGCAGGTGTTTCAGCATTCAATGATTCAGTAGCTTGTCCATGAAAACGCAACAATGATACACAACAATAATCATACACATTTAATCTCAATGTGTCGGGTCATAATATTTCATACACACAAGTAAAGATGGAAAACTATCTGAATATTTGAACTCTGAATGACATCTGAAAGTCATTATGATGCTTGTGATTTAATGCTTTCAGTTTACCTACCCAGTTTTATGATGATTGATTTGAAGTTTTTGTGGGACACAAAACAATCATATTCTGCTTTTTCATTCTCCTGGATCTCCACACTCTTCCTCAGCTGGAAGGTCCCATCATGGTTTGGTCCGATTCCTGTGGATTCAACCTCGTCTTCAGTTGGACATATGATGGAGTAATTCTGTGCCAAATATACTCCTTCTGGTTTCAAAAAAGTTTCAGAAAGTTTTATTTTTTTTTGAGTACGTCCCTTCATGACGTCATGAAAAGCGGAAGTCCATGTATGAGCACTTCTCCCGGAAGAGCACATGCACACATCAACCGGAGTGAGAGCAAGAGTGCTCCCATCAGCGCGCTTCATTTACAGAAGTAGTCGGCAACACTGCACAGACTTGCTTGAGAAGAATCAAAAGAAGTGTGTTTTTGCTTGTGAGGGAAAGCTAACCTTGTTCCGCTTCAAAAGGACCCAGTGTTACATGAACAGTGGATGCAGTTTCGTCATGCATTTCTGAGTTATTTACACTTTTAAAGAGTTGGATTCTCATGCTAAACATGGGCAAAGTTTTAAAAAAAAAAGTTCGACACTGGATTTGTACATCGTTTGATGCTGAATGATGGAGCAACCCCATCGATAAAAGATCCCGGTCATAAATAAGGAACTGCAGGCGGTAAGTAAATCTGCATTAAATTTATGTGTTTTGTTGGCAATCGGCGCAAATGCTCGTGACTCTTTAGCTCCGCCCACGGCGTGCCTCCAGGAGCTCGGCTGTTTTCAGAGAGAAGCGTATAGCTGTATCTGTCTTTAATAAATCTGATAAAACTAAAGACTCTTCAGAGAAATGAACGATGCAATACTAATCTATTAGTACTCAAGATTAAATCGCAAAGGCGAGCACATGCACACATCAACCGGAGTGAGAGCAAGAGTGCTCCCATCAGCGCGCTTCATTTACAGAAGTAGTCGGCAACACTGCACAGGACTTGCTTGAGAAGAATCAAAAGAAGTGTGTTTTTGCTTGTGAGGGAAAGTTAACCTTGTTCCGCTTCAAAAGGACCCAGTGTTACGTGAACAGTGGATGCAGTTTGTTTTTCCAGGGCAGCAACAGAGTTTCACAAGTGTGTTTGTTAGTTCCCGTAATTTCGGTGACGAATGTTTTATAAACAAGGCGCAGTTCGACACTGGATTTGTACATCGTTTGATGCTGAATGATGGAGCAACCCCATCGATAAAAGATCCCGGTCATAAATAAGGAACTGCAGGCGGTAAGTAAATCTGCATTAAATTTATGTGTTTTGTTGGCAATCGGCGCAAAGTGTTCGTGACCGTTTAGCTCCGCCCACGGCGTGCCTCCAGGAGCTCGGCTGTTTTCAGAGAGAAGCATAAAGCTGTGACTTTGTTTAACAAATCTGATCAAACTAAAGACTCTATGGAGATATGAAAAACACAATACTACTCTATAGGTACTCATTTAGGATTTTGTCCAATTTTGTCTCAAGGTTTTGTCCAATTTATGCAGGTTGTTTTAATGTAATGGCTGGTCAGTGTATTATACGTCATACGTGAGGTACACAAGCACAGCAGCACGCAACCTTCTGCATGTAAACATGCATGAAATGCACGAAAACATGAAAACACTTTTGTGAGCTGCCCTGAATGTAAATGAGATTTCTTCAATGTAGAACAGAAACACACTGATATTCCATTTAAATTACCATTTTGAATGACTTTCTCCAGAGAGCCATGGCTGCAGTTGACTGCAGTCACACTGCTGTCTGATGTTTCACAAGCTCTCTCTCGTCCTGCTGGAGAAACAGTCAAATGTCACATTGATGTGGTTTGAATCTGCTAGAAATGTGCTGGTAAATAACAAAAACATAGCAGCAGGTGTTTCAGCATTCAATGATTCAGTAGCTTGTCC